TGGGCATCTCACTTATCCTGTAAATATTCACGGGTAAGGTAATTAGGAAGGAAATTTGAAGTGCTTTTGAGATATTCTATATCAAAATAAAAAACACTTAAAATTGCTTGCATCTTGCAAAGATTTGTTTTGAGGCAAGATTTTTAACATCCTTTTGTAAAATTTCTTTAGCAGACTTGCAGTCTACTCTAATAAGAAACTTTTGGTTTAATAAATTAGATTGAAATTTTGAAACTCATAAAACAATTGCTAAAACTTCTTTTTTAACAGTTGAATAATTTTGTTGTGCTGAATTCCAATATTTTGAAGTATATGCAATAATGTGTTCATGGAAGTTAATTTTCTGTTTGAGAATGCCACCATAGCCTGTATCAGAAACATAAGTTTCAACAATTTTGGAAGCTTAAGGAATAGGAAGATAAAGACAGTTTATATTTCTGACTCTGCTCTTAATTTCTTTAACAACATTGGTATGGACGTCTGTCCAGGAAGGAGGATTCTTTCTAAGCCTATCATGTAAAGGCTAAATAATATTGTTGAGATGAGGAATAAAGTCACCTACATAATTGAGACATCCTAAAAACCTCTGAAGTTGGGTTTTATTAAGGATTCTGTCAGGAAACTTATTAGCAAATTCAATGGATCTACTAATAGGAATGATAGTTCCTTGGTGAATATTGTGACCAAAAAATCTGATATTGGTTTGAAAGAGATTGATTTTGGATTTGTAAACAGCAAGTCCATTTTGTTTGACAACATTTATAAAAACATTTATATGCTTGAAATTGTAACGCCTTATATTTCTTTTCTCAATATATAATAAATTTTCATAAAAAGTTAAATAGTAGAGTAAATTTTTCTTTCAAAAACTCTCTAAATAGAAACAGACATGGAAATGACATAAGGTTCATAGAGTAAAATTTCATTAATTCATAAGTACTTTAGAAAAACAAAGATTCTAGAATTTTTATCAGCAATAAAAAGAAATAGTAGTTTTACAACTGTTTCAAAAGAACGCTATAGAACTGAAAATATTCATTACATAACTCAAAATAACTAAGTCCTATACTCATCCATCCATGCACTGTGAGCCTGGTACTATTCAACCTGGTTTCCTGAAAAATGTTGTGTAAGGGTGAGTCTCTACCCTACCACTCATACATAACATATACATTCTTCACAAAACACATCTTATCACGATTAAAGAAAACATTATGGCATTACATATCACAAGGTTATATAAAGCATATTCTCATCTCAACGTGCATTACTTTACACAGATTCACAATTTCTTTTACTTTTATCCGCGCTTACCGCGCCCTGTGGCCACAGTTATCCGATGCCTCTATCCTGAGGTCTTACACATCCATGTAAATAGTCGCCGGATGGCCCAATGCAATACAGATACAACGCATGCAATAGACAGCCCCTTAGCAAAGGTAATGGTCAGGAGTCAAGTCGAGAAATGAGTGTGTGGCCATGTGGTGCATTCGAACACAATATTCCGTGCACAATCCCGAATTTCACTCACCACCCTGCATTTCCCCAAGATATCCCATATCGTCTCCATCTTCCACTCCCCAGTGTATCTCTGTAACTATTTACATCATATCTTTTTCCATCTCATACTCTTTCGAGTATATTCATATGTTCACATATGCCATTTCTCATGTTCACACATATTTTTCATCATATTTCCACATACTTTTCATCATATACATCAAACCATGGCATATTAACAATACACATCATTTTTACATGAAACACAATATATTCAAACATAAAACTTCCATCTCTTTGTATATTTCATATCACAAAATCATATAATCATATCAACCATCTTCAATATACCTTATCATGCCTTATTTGGACATAATATCACATTTTCACCATGTACTCATCATAAATCACATAAACAGCTAATTATTCTCACTATTCACTGATTATTTTTCATAAAGCAAGGATTATTCCACATATAATCACATACATGACAAGATCTATGAGAATACAAGTAATAAACATAACAAAATGATAAAGTAGAGCCCCCCCTTACCTCAAAACAGAGCTTTTACAAGGATTTAACCGAAGGTTTAACTCTAGAACGGAGGTTTTCCAAAGAACATCATGAACATCTATAAGAAGAAGAAAAAGAAGAGAAATGAACGGTAAATCTAACTTCAAACTTAGAAAAACTTACTTGTAATCCTTTAGATCGAACGTAAAATCACAGATCTGAAGAAAAATCTAAGTTTAGGAGGTTTAGTATGGGAGAAAATGGCGAGATATGACTTGAGAACCTTGGATAGGAGTGAAGAAATGAAAATTTCGTCTGCAACCCCCTTTTTATAGAAAATTTTCGAAGTACTGTTCACCGCCGGAATTTACTGTTCATCGCCGGAAACACTGTTCACCGCCTTACTGTTCATGCCAGAAACACTGTTCGCGGTAACTGTTCACGCCGGAAACACTGTGCACACGTACTGTACACGGATTGTACGCGTACTGTACGCGGATGTGACGTCAGCCATGACGTCATGCTGATGTCATTGATGACGTCATCGTCACTGTACAAAGGCGGTTTCACTGTTCATCGACACTGTTCATAGGCGGTTTTACTGTTCACTTTTTTTTTTTTTTAAATAATAAATTCTATCCAAATCTATTCCAATTATACTTTAACAAACCTCATTTTATTTAAATCAAAATATAGGATGTTACAGAAATGCTGATCAATGGAATGGGAAAAGATTAAAACATCATCAATATAGATAATGACAAATTTGGAATAAGGATTGAAGATATCGTTCATAATTTTCTAAAATTCAGAAGGAGCATTTTTAAGACCAAAGGGTATTACATTTCATTCATATTGTCCAAAGGGAACTGTGAAGGCAGTTTTGTATCTGTCTTCTTCACAGATTTGGATTTGCCAAAACCCAGATTTCATGTCCAATTTTGAAAAAATCTTAGCAGAATTGAGTCAGTTAAGAAGATCCTTTTTGTTAGGAATAGGGTACCTAATCCACTGAAGAGCTTGGTTAAGTGGTTTATAATTTATAACTAACCTGGGAGTACCTCTTTCTAATTCTTCTTGTTTATTAACATAAAAGGCAGAACAAGACCAGAGGCTTTTGCTTCTTCTAATGAGCTTTTTGCTTAAGAGATCTTTAATCTCTTTTTGACAGTATTGAAGGAGTTCGTCATTCATTTGAATAGGTCTCGCTTTAGTAGGGATTTGATTTTCTTTAAAGTCTGGTTCATATGGAAGACTTACCATATGCTTCTTTCTATTCCAAAATGCGTTTGGCAAATCAAAATAGATAGAAGATTGGATATTTTCTAAAAGAGAATTAATCTTCTTCTGAAGTGATAGATTCTTCGATTGTTTATCAATATTAGCAAAAGAAAATTCTTTTTTCAGAAAATTAATTTGATTAATTTTATTTTGGATAAAATTAATATTTTTAGTAAAAGGTTTGCTTGAAAATTTAAAGGTTATCTGCTTACCTAATATATATATATATATATATATATATATTATTTCAATTAAATCAATTATTTTTCTTTCAATTTTAGATTAAAAAATTAGAGAGAAAAGAATGTATTATGTGTCATTCCTTATTGTCATTGAGCACTTTAACTTCTCTACCCCTACTCTCATTTTTAGGGTCTATGTCATTCAAACATGTTGTAACAACTATGAATCGTCGGATTTAGTTGTCATAGTGATCACGAGAAGTCATCTATTTGATCCCATACGAGAGAACACCCATTGTGAAAATTAATCTCGTCATCGCCCAGTTTAGTGTCATCGTCATTCGATCAAGATCCCATGGGAGACAAGGTCATCACTGATTAGTTTAGTCTCATCGTTGGTCGCTCCCATTTAAATTGAACACAAGTGAGAAGAGATCTTCTATTGCAGATCAATTCGTCGTTGGCCAACTCTGCCTCTTCGTCGGCAAGTTTTACTTCTTGCTAACCAATATTGCCTGTCTTCCTTCAACCACTCTTTTTCTCCCATTCTATTATCTTTTTCATAGTAAGTAATCACATGTGTAGTATGACATTTTAGATGAATCTCATTCATATACTCTTTTCAAATTTCTTGAATGATATGAGCTTAAAACATTTTATTAAGCTTATGATATTTTGTAGTATGTAAATTTGAAAGATAAGCATTTATAATTATTTGGAGACTTTGATTCTAATGAAAAGGTGACATAACTTATTTATATTATTTTGAATTTATAATAAATAATTAATTAATATTCTTTTTTTTACATGTTTTAAAAAATTTCAAGACTCTCAAGTTTATAAGTTAATTATTTTAGAAGATCTTAAAGATTATGTATATTTATTTTATTTATGATTTTTAAATATTCTAATTTAAAAAATTGATGTATCTTAATACTAATAGTTTTTTAATATTTTTTTATTTTCGTTTAAAATTTATTCTATAATTATATATTAAATTTTTATATTATTATGTTATTTATGTAAAATTATATAAGTATATTTTTTTAATAAATTCTTGTTTTCTTACATAAGGGCGCAGATATGAAAACGGGGGTACTTCCACAGACATGAGAATTGAAGATACTACGCTCTTGCAAGTATAAAATAGTTTTTTTTTTTTTTTTAAAAAAAAACAGAATGATTATTATACTATCCTACCCGTGGCATTCCTAATCCCGCCGTTATTAATTCCTATCTTCCATGACTGGGGTGAGAATAAAAACAGCTGGATTCGGATTCTCCAACTTAGTTACGTTTAATTAAGAAAAAGTCTACTACAGTTTACAGCATTTTTTAAGTACTTCTGTCCTTTTTAAGTTATTTTCCAAAAACTTGATGTTTAACTTCGTTTTGTAATTTATAGTAACCTTACTTTTATGTAGCCCGCTTATGTTTGTTTGACTCAAGTTCAGTCACCAGCTCTTAGATCAAAGTTTCTGATTTTGGGTATCTTTGATTATTTTTGATTCTGGGCAGTACTCATGGCTATGGATCGAGATACTGTTGTTCGAAATTTGGTGGGTGAACTGTTGAGTGCTGTTTTGGAAACGAAGGAAAGGGCTGTTAAATTCAGACCCACCCTGGAACATTTGGAAGGTATTCTCAAAGCAATAGAACCATCGGTTAACCAGATAGATTTGGATCGGCCAGCGGAGGAAATAGAGAAGCTGATGAAGAGTTGGACAAAGCTTGTTCTAAAGGGCAGTAAAATCAAGTGGTGGAATTGTTGTTATGTGGCCAATTACCAAGAGGAGCTTGAAGCATTGGATGAGAATATTAAAAGGTTGTTTGCTTTAGATATGCTACGTCAGATACAGAGGAATAGCTTGGAGCCCTCGCGGGACCTAAAGGAGATACATCTAAAAATTAGAGATTTCGTTCCGAGAAAGACTGAGTTAAGGGGCTTGTGTTCGCCTCCTGAACCCCCTGCTTTTACCGTTGGCTTGGAAGTTCCTTTGATGGAATTGAAGCTCAAGTTTCTGCAGGAGCAGGTTAGCGTCTCCGTGGTCACGATCACCGGAATAGGAGGTTCGGGGAAGTCAACATTAGCTAAAGTCTTATGTTCCGATCAGGAAGTCAAAAGTACGAATTCCCACCAACTATTATTGCTGTTGGTACTGTTGGAATTAAATCATATGTGGGTGCTTTGGAACCAAAAGTTAACCGATGAGTTGAGTTTAGCTCTTTTGATCCCCGTCCCTGTCAACAACAGGACGGGTTTGGGGTCAACTTTAAGAAGAGTGGGGATAAAAAATTAAAGCCTAAACTCTATTCTCATCGAAGTTGGAGAACTCATGAGGAATTCGTTCACTATTTTTTTCATTATTTGATATATTAATACGTAGAGGGATCAAAATACATCAGTGTAACTCATTTTTATCCAATTTAATATGGATAATTTAACATGAAAATCAACTGTTATATTAAAAATTCTAATAATATATATTAAGGGAGCCAAAACATGCATACTTTCTCTTGTTCGTGTAGTAAAAGATGAACATTAACAACTTTTGAAAAACTGAAATGCACCCCAATCATAGAAAAGCATTCTTGTCCTGTTTTGCTTTTTAGTTATTTCTACTGTTCTAGTCGAATAAGATGCTCTTGAGTTAGCAATACTCTAAATTTGTAAGATTTCGGTAGGTAAATTCAAGCAAAACATCTTCTTCATCACAGTTGGGAAAACACCCAATATGCGTACCATAGCGCAGAGACTGTTTGAACACAATGGTTACGATGTACCAGAGCTTCGAAGTCCCGAAGATGCCTATAACAAATTGGAACATTTACTAAAAGAAATTGGGAGAAGCCCAGTGTTGGTGGTCTTCGATGACGTTTGGCCAGGATTTATGTCTCTTCTTGACAATTTTTTGTTCCCAATCCCAAACTACACGATTTTAGTGACATCAAGATTCGCAATGTCGAGATTTGGCCCTCCATATGTGTTGAAACCCCCTCAATGAGGCTGATGCTATAGATCTATTTCGCCACGAATCATCCCTCAATCAGACCAGCTCCAACGTTCCTGATCAATTTGTCAAACAGGTTCTTTCTATTGCCCTCTTACATCACGAAATATAGACATCTAGTTTTAATGGTAAGATAAGATAAGAGCCTGTCTTATTTTAATCTTATTTGATATTTATTCAAATTATCATGTTCACCAATCAAATTCTAAAAATAATAAAATATTATTAAAAATAACTAATTGTTGCAAATATATATATATATATATATATAATTATAGTAAATATATTCTTCGTAAAAATATTATTTTTATATGCTTAAATAGACTCATAACAAAATCGAAATTTCAAAACAATAGCCACCTCACTCTTTAAGCAAAAATTCTACCTTTCACATTCCCCATCATCCAAACTCTTTGCACTTGAAAAATGAGCATGGCATAGGTCCTACACAAGTCCACAACCTACGATTAGTTTTTGACATCTGAGCTGTTGTCAAAATCTCAAGATGCTTTAAAGTAATAATAGAAACTTGTTAAATGCTAATTAGCGTTCAAAAAACAATGGTTAAGAAATTAAATGTAATCTTTTTTTATTGGAAAGTGGAATATTGCATTTTTCTTGGTAATTTTCAATGCATTCTGTTAGGAACTAAGTATTCGATTGAAATTAAAGGGCTCACACAGGGAGTATTCCTAAAATTACAAGCTGCTATAATAGAAAAACAGAGCCAAGGAACTATAACAATGGAAAATAGAATACAGCAATTAACTAAAGATCCTCCCACTGCATCAACCACCACCCAATGACCTCCCAGTCAAATCCTCCGTTTGTCATCTATTCATTCTCCTTATATTCCCCCCCCCCTCCCTTGCCACCTTGCTAATTTTGTTAGTCAGTTAGAATCTCGCATAACGGCTTCTTGATCCACCCTTCCCATTTTACCCTTTCCTTGAGTGGAGACCCAATTGGCCTAGACCCAACAATACCCCCTCCATCAAGGCAAACCTTGTCCTTAAGGTTGAAATGGGGAAATACAGCTTGAAGCATATCAACCTCCTCCCAAGTGCTTTCTTCCTTAGGTAAACTCCTCCATTTAATTAGGACCTCCCAATGTCCATTCAACAATTTGCGTGCGTCCAGCACCTCTTCTGGCTCCACTTGCAGTTCCAGCTCCTCAGTCAAAAACGGTGGCAAAGCTTGGCTAGCTTGACTGGTAGGAGGGGCCTTCTTAAGCTGTGACACATGAAAAATGGGGTGTAGACGCGCTGATTCTGGCAGCAACAATTTGTAGGCAACAGATCCTATTCTTTCTTCCACTCGAAATGGACCATAAAACCTTGGACTTAGCTTCTCATTGATCTTTTTGGCCAATGTCTTTAATTTGTAAGGACGAGCCTTCAGATAAACCATATCCCCAATCTGAAATTCCACCTCTCAGCGTACCCTATCAGCCTGCTCCTTCATCCTCAGCTGAGCATTAATTAAGTGTTGTTTGAGCTTGTCTATGATACTGTCCCGGTTTTGTAGTAAATGGTCTACTTCAGCCACAATTGTACTATCTTTGCAGTAGGGAATAATCAGAGGAGGGTCCCGCCCATATAGTGCCTTAAAGGGGGTCATTTTGATGGATGCATTGAAAGAGGAATTAAACCAAAACTCCCCTCATGGTAGCCACTTCACCCATTAACCGGGGTGATCATTAACAAAACACCTCAAGTAAGCCTCAATGGTGCGATTTGTCACTTCGGTTTGGCCATCCGTTTGGGGATGGTATGCGGAGCTGAGTTTTAGCCTTGTTCCCGAGAGACGAAAAAGCTCCTTCCAAAATGAACTAATAAAAATTTTGTCCCTGTCAGACACAATGGAGCTGGGGAATCCATGTAAACGCACAACCTCCCTCACAAATACAGCAGCTACGCCCTTAGAGGAATAGGGATGAAGTAAAGGAATGAAATGAGCATATTTGCTAAACCTGTCCACTACCACCATGATGCTGTTTGCTGTCCTGGTCTTGGGTAATCCCCCAATAAAATCCATTGTAATGTCTTCCTATACATGCTCTGGAATTGGTAGAGGTTGTAGGAGCCCTGCTGGCTTTAGCGTCTCATGCTTATTCTTTTGGCACACTTGACATTCAGCTACAAACCTTTCTACATCTTGTTTCATCCCAGCCCAATAGAATATCATAACTAACCGCTTATAGGTCTTTGTTACTCTCGAATGACCATCCCAGGGAGAAGCATGGAATTCTAACAACAACAGTGGGATTCAGGTAGAATTCTTAGGCAGAACGAGCCTTTGCTTATACCATAAACACCCTAACGAGACAGAATAATGAGGATGGGAAATAGGATTTGTCACTATCTGCTGCATGATTTCCCTTAATTGCTCATCTCTCAGAACTTCCTCAGCCAATTCTACTAAATCAGAGTTGGTTATCATGGATATGGCTTTACAAGTCATGACTCGGGACAACGCATCAGCTGCCTTGTTCTCCAGCCCCGGTTTGTACTGAATTTCGAAGTCAAAGCCCATTAATTTGGCCACCCATTTCAGCTGCTCTCCCACCAACACACGTTGCTCCAATAAAAACTTGAGACTCTTTTGATCGGTCCGAATAATGAAGCGATGACCCAACAAGTATTGCCGCCACTTCTAGACAGCAAACACGATTGCCATTAATTCTCGTTCATACACCGATTTCACCTTGTTTCGGTCCGATAGAGCTTGACTAATAAAGGCTAAGGGTCGACCTTGTTGCATTAGGACTGCACCAAAATCATGTCCTGAGGCATCCGTTTCAACCACAAATGGTAATTCAAAATTCGGCATTGCTAAGGTAGGCAACACCTCCATTTCCCTTTTGAGCTTTTCAAACGCCGCTTGTGCTTCCCCTGACCATTTGAAACTGTTTTTCTTTAGTAATTGTGTTAGGGGTCTTGTAATAATTCCATAGTTGCGTACGAATCGGCGATAATACCCCGTTAGGCCCAAAAACCCCCTCAAACTTCGAATGTCTTTAGGTTCAGGCCACTGAGTCATGGCAGTGACCTTGGCGGGATCAGCAGAGATTCCAATGGAGGAGATTACATGCCCCAGATATTCTAACTGGGACTCTCCAAAGCTGCACTTCTTACCATTAACCCACAATTCCTGACTTCTCAGTTGTTGAAGAACCAAGCGCAAATGACCAATGTGCGAGGCATAATCTGCACTATAAACTAGAATGTCATCAAAAAATACTAACACAAATTTGCATAAATACAGCTTAAAAACCTGATTCATCAATGCTTGGAAGGTTGAAGGAGCATTGGTTAGGCCGAAGGGCATTACTACATACTCGTAGTGCCCCTCATGTGTCCGGAACGCAGTTTTAGGAATATCCTCTGGTCTCATACGTATCTGATGGTAGCCGGATTTCAAGTCCAGTTTGGAAAAGATGGCTGCCCCTCTTAACTCATCCAAAAGCTCCTCAATGACTGGGATTGGGAATTTGTTAGGAACAGTGATGTTATTCAGAGTACGATAGTCCACGCAAAAACGCCAACTCTCATCTTTCTTTTTCATTAGAATCAGAGGACTAGAGTAGGGACTAATGCTCGGCCTGATCATTCCTACTGCAAGCATGTCCTTCACAAATTTTTTAATTTCCTCCTTGTGATGATGCGAATGTCAATAAGGCCGAATATTAGGAATTGTAGCTCCTTCCTTCAAGACTATGCCATGATCATATTCCCTCGCAGGTGGGAGGGAAGTTCCTTTCTTGAACAATTCTCTGAACTCCCTTAATAACTCCCTCAAAGCCTCAGGTGCAGTATCCGAAATCGGAGTGGGCACTTCAGTGCAACCCACTGCCATCATGCCCAATTCAACGTAGTAAGCCTTTGCTTCGCCCCTCAATTCCTTTCTTATGGCCTTGAGTGAGGCCGCAGTTCTTGACAACCCCACGTCCCCCTTGATCTCTATGATTCTTCCATCCTGATGCACTTCAATCAAGTGCTGCCGCAAGTCAGCACTGAATTTTCCCAAGCTTTTCAGCCATTCATACCCCAAAACCACGTCAACACCCACCAAATCAAATAGAAAAAAATCCTGGATTATTTGGATATTCGGCAGTTTTAGAATAACCCCCTGACAAACTCCCTGACTTCCCAGCCTCTTGCCATCTCCTACTTCCACAAAATAGCTCTTTGTAGCCTCGGTTTGTATTTTCAGCTCCTCCACCAGCCCCGGGGACAAAAAGTTATGGGACGCACCGGAATCGACCATTACTATGACTTTCTTACCCAAAATTGTCTCCCATAGCTTCAAAGAGTTTTTGGAAGTCATTCCCGCTATGCTGCTCGCGTTCAACTGGAGATTCAGCTCCTCTTCGTCGCTGTCCTCCATGGAAATCTCCCCTTGGTCGTCCTCGTTTTTTCCCAACAGAATTATGTGGAGTTGTTTATTGCGGCATATGTGGCCAGGTGAGAATCGCTCGTCGCAACGAAAACACAGTCCTCGCCTTCGCTTTTCGCTCTCCTCCTCTTCAGTAAGTCTCTTGAACCCTAGACCCCTTCTGCTCGAACCAGCTGCGAACGAGTCGAGTGAATTATTTTTGGTTCCTTGGGTCGGGTTTGCGTTAAATTGGATAGGGTTCCCTTGCTGGTTTGGGTTTCTTAACCTAGCTATTGGAGCTGGTTCAATTCTGCCAGCCCAACTCCTTTTAGTCGTGTCTTGGGCTCCATCTTTTAAGGCCCAATTTGTTTTAATACCCATTGACCCACCAGCTCTTCCCGCTGACCCATAAGAGAGACCCATTGTCCTATTCTTTTCTTCAACCTTTTGTGCAAACTCCATGACTGAGCTCAGGTTGCCGGAATCCCTTAATCTCACTTCCGCCTTGATCTCCTCCCTGAGACTGTTGAGGAACACACCTATCATGAACTCTTCATTGGCAAAACGCAGTGGAGCCGAGTACAGCTCAAACTGCTCCCTATACTCAACCACAGTCC